TAGAATGGCCAAAATCAAAAGTGCTGACAATACCAAGTGCTAATGAAAATGCCAGAGCAATTGGAATTCTCATCCGTTGCTAGTGGGAATGCAAAATGGTAAAATCACCTTGGAAAACAGTTTGGCAGCTTTTTATAAAGTTAAATATACACCTTCCATGTGATCCAGAAATCACACTTGTGGGTATTTCAGAGAAATCAAAACTAGGTTCACATGGAAATCTGCACAGGAATGTTTAAACCAGTTTCAATCATCCACCAAAAATTGGAAATAACTCAGACGCCCTTCAGCTGATGAATGGATAAACAAACTATGATACATCCATACAACGGAATACTACTAGCAATAAAAAGAACGAACCATAAATACGCATGATAACTTGGATGAATCTCAAACTATGCTGAGTGAAAGAAATCCACTCAAAAGCTTACATACTGTATAGACTTCATTTATGTGACATTCATGAAGAGGGAAAAGTGTATTGACAGGGAACACATCAGCGATAACCAGGAATTAAAGGTAAGGGGAGGATGTGGCCATAAAGGGATAGCATATGGGAGTTTTGCGGGGTGATCAAACTAGTCTATATCCTGATTATAGCAGTGACACAAATCTATATATGTTCTAGAATTCATAGAACTGTATGCTCAAGAGTCTATTTTAATGTATGACAATTACAAATTTAAAATGAGACAGCTGGGGCCAGGCGCGATGACTCACGCCTGTAATTCCAGCACTTTGGGAGGCCAAGGCAGGTGGATCACGAGGTCAGGAGTTCAAGACCAGCCTGGCCAAGATGGTGAAACTAAAAATACAAAAAGTAGCCGGGTGCTGTGGCGGGTGCCATGGCAGGCGCCTATAATCCCAGGTACTCGGGAGGCTGAGGCAGGAGAATTGCTTGAACCTGGGAGGCAGAGCTTGCAGTGAGCTGAGGTCACTCCACTGCACTCCAGCCTGTGTGACAGAGTGAGATTCCATCTCAAAAAAAAAGAAAAAAAAGAGACAACTGGAACTTTGAATACTGACTAGCTATCTGATGAAACTAAGTAATTGTTGTTAATTATTTTACATGTGATAATGGCATTATGGTTATTTTTAAGTCCTTATCTTTTAAAGATACACACTAAAATATTTAAGGACAAAGTTATATAAAGTATGGGATTTGCTTAAAAATAATACTGGAGGAAGGAACGGACTGGGGAAGAAATGAAAGAAACCTGACCATGATTTAGTAATTGTTGAAGAGGGTAATGGATACATGGGACTTTATTATACTGTTCTGTCTACTTTTGTATATGTTTGATAGTTTCCATACTAAAAAGTTCAGCCAGGCACGGTGGCTTACACCTGTAATCCCAGCACTTTGGGAGGCCGAGGCAGGCAGATCACGAGGTCAGGAGTTTGAGACCAGCCTGGCCAACATGGTGAAA